CTGGTGTATGCGGCATTCCAGCTGAACTGTTAAAGGCTGGTGGTGAACCTTTGGTGTGGGGGTTGCATATTGTCCTGGCTGCCATCTAGCTGTCTGGTATTGTTCCCCCTGACCTTTTGAGGGGTGTGGTCATCCCTCTCTGGATGGGGAAGGGGGACTGATGGGATCACACTGCTCAGTATACCAGGCAAGGTTCTTGCCCATCCTTCTGAGACGTATCAGAGACCATCTACTGAGGCATCAGAGACTGGAGCAATCCGGATTCACTCCTGGTAAGTCCACAATAGACCGTATCCTTGCGCTTCGAGTCATTGTAGAGCGCCGTCGTGAGTTCGGGCGTGGGCTGCTTGCAGCCTACATCGACCTCAAGAAGGCGTTCGATACGGTGCATCGGGAATCACTTTGGGAGATCCTGAGGCTGAGAGGAATTCCAACAAGGATTATTGGACTAATAGCAAGCCTGTATACTGGTACTGAAAGTGCTGTAAAGTGTGGTGGGGGCCTGTCGAGCTTCTTTCCTGTTAGTTCAGGAGTGAGGCAAGGCTGTGTCCTTGCACCAACTCTTTTCAACACTTGCATGGACTGGATACTGGGCAGAGCTACTGTTCAAAGTCATTGTGGAGCAACACTGGGCAATATCAAGGTTACAGACCTTGACTTTGCTGATGATGTTGCCATTCTATCTGAGTCTTTGGAAACCTTAGTGGTGGCTCTCGATGCATTTAGCAATGAAGCGAAGCCCTTGGGTCTAGAGGTCTCCTGGACCAAGACCAAGGTCCAGGACTTTGGGGACTTGTTAGGAGAACCTGTTCAGTCGGTACGTGCTTGCAGGGAGGACATTGAAGTCACAGAGAGCTTTACATACCTTGGTAGTGTAGTTCATAACTCTGGGCTGTCAGACCAGGAAGTCAGCAGACGGATTGGCCTGGCAGCAGGGGTCATGAACTCTCTCGACAAGAGTATTTGGAGATGCTGGTACCTGTGCAGAAGGACCAAGCTACGTGTCTTCAAGGCCCTGATAGTGTCAGTTTTGCTATACGATAGTGAAACCCGGACACTATCATGTGCCTTGGAGTCTTGACTTGATGCCTTTTGTAATAGGTCCTTGTGCTGGATTATGGGGTACTGTTGGTGGGACCATGTCTCCAACCAATGGTTGCACCGTGAGACTGGCACAGGATCTATTTTATAGGAGGCCTCACATGTGAGGTCAGACAAGAAGCACAATGATGTTTTTCTCTTTCAACTCCCTCCAAAACAGTTTTTGGCTCTGTTCCCCCCACCATCCTTACAAGATGTTTCTGCATCTCTCCCAGTATCTCTTCCCTATACCCTAAACCATCCAAAGTCTACTCATCCAATCCCCCAGTCAAATTCGTTTTCCATTCTAAATCCTCGATACCTACCCCTCCTCCTCACTTTATTTGTCGCACCAGGCAATGTAAATGTTCCACTTCACCCTCTCCTACTTCATCCTCTCCTACACCTTCCTCTTCTTCTGCTCCTTAGATATCTATCTCCTCTTCTCCTCCTTATAAGAGAACCTTTGTTTCTCAGTCCTCTTCACCCAACTCCCCTCCAGAAACCCTTGAAGAACTTTCTAAAGATGACCCAAGGGAACACTCTGCTCCTACATCCACCCCCCGATCCCACTGTTTCTACTTCTACATTTAAAGTATTTGCAGATATCCATCTTCCTCCTTCTCAAGTTCCCTCTACCTCCTTTCCTCCTACACCCTCCCATCATACCCCACCCTCTCTACTGCTCCCACTTGAATACTCACATGAATCCCCTCTATCACAACAGTATCCTTCTCTAGACCCCTCTCCTCCAGACATTATTCCTGATACTTCACCATCTTCCTCAGGCCCCCTTTCTCATCCCCTGGATTCTTCTCCTACTTCTCCAACAGCCACCTCTGTTTACTTTGAACAATGTCCCTTCAATATTCCTTCCCCAGTCACACATACACTGCAAATCACTCAATTGCTCTACCCTCTTTAAGTTTTCCCATTTTACTAATCACTGCTTTACTTCATTTACTTCCCTCTTTTCCCTTTTCTTTACCATACTTTCCTATAACACTCTCTAACCTTTGACATCTAACACCCCCCTCTCTCTCCAGATTATTCTCCTACTTTTCCAACAGCTGTTACTGTTTTCTTTGAACATTGTTCCAATACCTTTCCCAGTGACAGATACACTGTAATTCACTCAAATGCTTTACCCCTTAACCCTCCCCTTTCTACTAATCTCTGCTCAAGTTGACTTACTCCCCTTTTTCCCTTTTCACTACCATGCTATGCTATAATTCTCTAATATTTGACATCTAACACATTTTATCCTAATCATTAACTCTTCTTTACCCTTTCTGACACAATACTTTACCATAGTGCTATATGACCTTTGATGTCTAGCATATTTATTTGTTTCAAACATTAACATTAACATTAACACTGTATACTGTCTTTTAACTTTTGTCCCTCCAATTTGTTACAG